TGATAGCCGAGGCTATTTCCATCCCCCCGCCGGCACTCGGTTGGTAATCTTGGGCATGGTATTTTATCAAATCACCTCATTCTTTGGGGCATTTCGCATTTGTGTTCCTCACGTGTGCCCCAAAGAATGCGGTGAATCATGCCCAAGATTAACAACCGAGTGCCGGCGGGGGGAGGGAAGTAGCCTCGGCTATCATCCTCTTTTGTCCGGTCGTGTTGGTCGAGCGGTTAAGGGATCCTGTACGCCAGCAGAGTGCTCCTGGCAGTATGGGTTCGAGTCACTTCTGGGGTGTGAATTTTCAGTTAATATATATATATATATATATATATATATATATATATATATATATATATATATATATATATATATATATATATATATAAATACATATATATACATACATACCCAGAAGTGACTCGAACCCAGACAGCCAGGGGGCACTATGCAACTGGCGTACCTCGTACCTTAACCACTTGACCAACCGTGACCATACTGGAGTTTTCAGTTGCATATATGCTTGGGGACCATTCAAGCTTGTTCGCATTTGTGTTGCTCACGTGGCCCCACAAAGTGAGGTGACTTGATGAAATAACTAAGCCCAAGCTCACCACCAAGTGTCGTCGGGACGGTGGGGGAAATACGTCTTTTGTACGGATACGGTTGGTCAAGTGGTCAAGGTACCAGTTGCATAGTGCTCCTAACTGTCTGATGGCAGTTGCATAGTGCCGGCTGGATGATGGGGAATTAGCCTCGGCTACCATCATCTATTGTCCGGTCGTGATGGTCGAATGGTGAAGGTGCCCTGTACACCAGTTGCAGAGTGCGCCTGACAGTATGGGTTCGAGTCACTTCTGGGGTGTGAGTTTTCAGCTGCATATATGCCTGGGGACCATTCAGGCGTGTTCGTATATATATATATATATATATATATATATATATATATATATATATATATATATATATATATATATATATATATATATTAAATAAAAAAATTATTTGATGATTGTTGTGGATGAAGATAAATAAAACGGGATTAACGAGTGTGTGTTGTTTGGTTTACCCTTCAAGACTATTTCCAGCTGTTAACTCTAAAATGTTCTCCAACTTTTGTATTGATTAGTACTACCATGTTAATTACAATTTATTGACTAGATCCCTATTAATACTAAGATCTGCCCACTTGTTAGTTTTAAGATTTTAGCCAAGAGGTTGTGTGTGATTATCGGCTTCATAAAAGGTAACAATCATATACCATGTATCAAATAATGTGATATAACCAGTGTATATTTATAACATTATATATATAATGAACACATTATTATGCCTGGTGCCCGGAAGGTTGTTGTTGTTAAAGATTCGCTACCTGGAACATAAAGTTCCAAGTAGCACGGGCTATGGTGAGCCCGTTGACCCGGAAGGAGCGGAGGCAGTAACACATCAGTAGTGCCAGAGTAGTGTGTTGATCGGTTAAAGAGTAGAGTTTGAGCTACTGGAGTTTATCATCAACATGTAACTACATATATTTAAGATTTTTAAGTAAGTGTACGTTTTGGGGTTAATTATTGAATTAGTAATTAGGATATCAGCGTAAATTAGGAGCTACATTTAATTAGAATGTGAATAATGGGTTTACATATTTTTGTAACCTATTTAAAATTAAGACAGTATTAATATACTTTAAATATCCTTAAATAATAACATCAACAACAAACACAATTCGCTTAATTAACACGTCTATATATATGTAAGGAGAGAACTACATAAAGCCTATCATCACTAAGATTTTGATGGTTGCCTCAGGAGGTGGCTAGTATATTGTGCACCCCATACTCATCCTGTGAGCGGTAGCGCAAAAAGCATTACAGAGGACACAAAAGGTCTTTATCAGACCCATATGATATAACATAATACAAAATTGGCACTAGCGAGGCGCCCCAGCACACTCCTCACACGGCCAACACAGGTACACTTATGCACGCCGTGACCACTTCCCATATTATATACGTCTATATATATACATACCATATATACCATACGTCTATATATATACATACCATACTCTATAATATGTAATATACTATATGATATGTTCCAATACTATATAACATATAATTATGCATACATAATTTAAATTAGTGAGAATCAGGTAAATACCGTTGGTAACAGTCTGTATCAGGCTTCCAAGCTCTCGTCCCACTCTGACTCCACTCAGCTCTCTGCTCCAGGCTTCGTCTCAACGTCTACGACACTACCATAACCGACTGCTGTAACCAAGACAACTAAATAAATAAGAAACCCACTAAACCCTGTGTATTGAATCAACCAAACAACGTAACAGGAAAGTGCCTTTGTTGTCTCTCTCTTGGTACAAATTATAAATCAGATACATTATGAGTTGAGTTCCAGTTTTAGTTATCCATTTGAAACAATATTGATCTTCAATAAAGAGATTCTGGAGGGCTTCTGTACAAGGGTTAGGATGAGCTAGCCTAAGCATTTTTATACCAATTTGACAGTTAATTTCAGTAACACGATCAACGACGCTCGGAATATTAAGTTCCTTTCTCATGATAAGTATCTTTGTGGTACGAGGGCACCCAAGGATTATCCTCAAGGCTTCGTTCTGCAATTTTTCAAGCCCTCCAAGCTTTCTTTCAGGCATCAAGGCAAGCAGAGGGGCAGCATACTCCACTAAACATGTATGCGCGGTACATAATTTTAACAATGCTGACATTGGCACCATAGCCTGAGTGATAACCTGCAACAGCCTTGAGAGCTCGGAGCCTCTCTTTATACTGACGACAGTCTGAATACAACAGGTCTATACAGTGGCACCTCAAGGCCAAGATATTTGAATTTGTTAACATAGTGAAGCTGGGAGTCATCAGACAGTTGCATCTTGCGAACAGCTCCTCCCTGCCTGGGTGGGCGCCGATTGTGTATCTTTGTTGTCTGCTGAGATGACTAAACCTGAGTCCTGACATGAGTCTAATACAGAGTTAAGAGTGTTCTGCGTGTTAGCATACCCGGTGGTGTGTATCATTATATCATCAGCATAGCTAGTGATGTGGACGTTGGGTTTGCTCGGTTCAGAGTTTAGCAGCGTGTTTATTAAGATATTACTTAAGGCAGGACTGAGGACACACCTAGAGGAAGCAAACACAATATATCATAAGTGATACTATCCTCACCGGGGGACGTGGCTTTACCTTTGTTTAGGGCCGAAAGTAACTCAAACTCAGTAAATGACACGTTGCATTGATCTTCCTTGTGGAACATGAAGTCAACGAGCCTTTCTCGATCTCCGTAGCCAGTATTTAATCTGAATTGTGTGTCTGGGGAAAAATTATTGAAGCTAGATGTGTCATCTCTGAATTCCATAATTGTTCACATTCCATTATATCGCTGGTGGCAAGTTGGTTCCTGCAATATTAATTGTTTTCTTAATATATTTTACTCTGGAGTTTACTTCGAAAATGTTCAATAAGTTTAGTCTATGTGAGCTTAAATCCATGTTAGCTTTGGTTGATTCAAAACAATATCCGGAAATATTGAGAAGCTTCGTACGTGTGTTTGGCTAACGAACACCTCAGCTGGGTACAGTGAGCGCGGGGTTATTATATAAATATATTTAACATATAATAATTTAATATGTTTGATAATGCTTTCTGGGATTACTACTCCTTGATATACGTAAATGCTGAATATAAATACTGAATATAGATTTATGGTAATAAACTTATTTAGATCATATTTGAAATGCCCCCGTACCAGTCTATTTTGAACTGTATCCATGGAGTATACTATATTGATAGTGCAGGAGAAAATCATTATTTAACCACAAAAAAATGTTCTGTTAGAATATGCAATGCATAATATTTGTTAAATCAATATCCTTTATACGGCTCACTATCAACACCCAGTCCACATCGCAGCCCGTCCTCCTAAGGTTTCCCCAACGTCAAGAAACTGTTGTACTAAAGTGCCCTTATCTTAACCAACCAGAGGACCCAAAACAGAAAACGGAACAATATGTCAATTTCATGAGCCGCTTCCATTTTCTAGTATGACGATCTTTGGCCTTAGGTAAAGTATACGTCACCATGCGACGCTCATATATGAGGAGGACACCTCGACCTCTCCCTCGGGGCCAGGCTCCTCAACCCGACAGGATCTGTCACCGGTTCATGTTCAAGGAAATTTATAGAGATAAAGGAAGTACATTTCAAAAGGCTAGCGGTCTCCTACACGCCCGTTGCCTTCCTGCCTCTCTCATCCTACTTATTATTTCATAATTCTATGTATAAAAGCTGACGGAATTAGTGTATACCTAAGCTCGCTAAAAAAAGGAAAAAAACAAGTATATGTGTTATCTTTAAGTGAGAGTTCAAACCCGACAAATAGTGGTTGACGTTGATAGGAATGGCAACACTTTCTACAATACTATCTCTTTGTCAGTCGACCACTTGGAATGATTCCCTTGGAAAGATACGCAATATAAATTAAAGATAAATTTAATTTTCAGATTCTGAAGATAATTTCGTCTCTAGTAAAAAATAAATGACTTTGTAAGTCAGTTGGGAATATTTTCATCGTGCAGAGTGGCAACTGCACTCTGAGCAGAGGCCAATGCAACAAAAAGCTAAATATTTAATACAACAATTACTCCAACGTATGATAAACAGTTTGATAATTAAAACAGTTGTATGTTTTCTGGTCGTGTTAATGAAAGAAAATGTATATAAATAGTATTGAGAGAAGACAGCTATTAAAGCTTGAGTTGCGAAGGGACGGAGCTGAAATTGGCACCAGATTTTCCAGTGATTTTATCAACGTATTTTTGTAGTCATGTGTTGGAGTTTGCATTTTGAAGAATAACAGGTAATGTATATGTATAACTGATGTAAGAAAGACGGTTAGTGCATGGTGTGAAGAGGTGAGAGAGGTGTGTAGTTTCCCACCCCTGCGAAGCTCAGGGCGGCCGGCACTACCACATTGACCGTGAGGGCGGAGCTCAGACGGCGCTCAGCTGTGGCCTCGCACGGTGCCGCCCGCTCCTCCTCCCCGTCACCCGTCACCCCCACATGTCTCACCACCCTCACTGTGCCAGCGGCGGCATGTGGAGCGTCATGAGTGAGAACATGTTATCGCAGAGTTTCCCGGTGCACCGCGCGTGTCGCGACGGTGACGTGAGCACCCTGAGGGTGCTGCTGCAGCAGGAGGCCGTCCGCGCCCACCTCACCCTCGAGGACACCTACTACGGCTGGACGCCCGTCCACTGGGCCGCCTACTTCGGCAAG